ATAGTTACTAGGAACCCTAACTGGTCAACAGAGATTCTATGGTTCGAGACTGATTACGCAAAAGGGAAGATATTATCACCCCTTTTAGCGTCCTGCCTAAGGCAGGCTGCATTGCTGACTTTGTCAATAATTGCTAATGTTTTGTTGGTTTATGCTATGATGGTTTTGCGTGTAATATTCCTGACTCTGGCGTCAGTGAATATTTAACTACAGATATTTCCAACTCTGGCGTTGGTAAATATCACGTAGCTATAAAAAAAAAATTTTAATCAGTTATTTTTTTATTCCTGACTCTGGCGTCAATGAATAAACAAATCAAATAAATTTATTTTTACGCATCACACAAAAAATAAAATAAATTTAAATCGGATATTTTTTATTCCTGACTCTGGCGTCAGTGAATAAACAAATCAAATAAATTTATTTTTACACATCACACAAAAAATAAAATAAATTTAAATCAGTTATTTTTTTTTATTCCTGACTCTGGCGTCAGTGAATAAACAAATCAAATAAATTTATTTTTACACATCACACAAAAAATAAAATAAATTTAAATCAGTTATTTTTTTTTATTCCTGACTCTGGCGTCAGTGAATAAACAAATCAAATAAATTTATTTTTATGCATCACACAAAAAAAAAAAATTTAAATCAGTTATTTTTATTCCCGACTCTAGCTTCAGTGAACAAAATGAAAAAAAAAATAAACTTATTTTTTATGCATGTACATATTTTTTATTTTTTTCTAGCTAAAAATAACGAATGAAAAATAATATAAATTTAAACTGGTATTTTTATTCCTGACTCTGGCGTCAGTGAATAAACCAACAAATTTACATTATTTTTTATTCATGCCTATATTTTTGTAATTTTTTTTAATATTTTATTTTTTTATTTTTTTTTGGGGCTGGGCTGGGCTAAACCCAGCCCAGCATATACATTGGTGACTGGGCTGAGCTCAGCCGGCCCAGCCCAGTCACTGGCCCAAGCCAGTGGCTGGCTGGGCAACCAGCTGATGCATGCGTGAAGCAACTTCACACGTGCATCAACAGTGCAAAGGTAATTAAGTTACCTTCGCACTGTTCAAATGATAATTTGAACACCGGAGCCAACTATACAAGTGAACAGGCGTACCTGTTTCTGGAGATTGCGAAGAAGGCTGCAACGTTGAAAGGGCTCGACTGCTTTCTATTAATGGTGATAGAAGAGAAGGTTGCTGCGCCGGTGATTTTCTCCGTTCTTGTTCGGTTTCTGGCGACGGTGAAGAAGGCTCCTGTCGTGTTCTTTGGCTGAATTCTGCCTTTTCTTTTGCTTGCAGGTTCGAAAACAGTTTCGAGGATAATTCTCCTCACTGTGTGCTCTCCTCTTGTTCTCTCTTTCTCTTTGTATTTTAATATTTCTACTCTGTGGGTTTCTCTGTTTTCCTCTCTGTTCTTGGGTGATTTTCTCCGTTCTTGTTCTGCCAATTTTTTTTGTTAATTGCTGTGTTTTTCGGCTCTTCCCCACTCCTCTGTGTTAGGTTTCTTTTTCCATTTATAGAGACCCCCAACTCACTCCTCAGTCATCCTGCCTTTGCAGGACTGTATTTTCAAACAAGCGAGATCGTGGGCAAAGATTATGATCCACAACTGAATCTGTTGCAAATTTTGAGGTTTTCAGTTGAATAGGAATGAAGAACATCACACGACTCTCCAACCAGCAACGACGACGTTCAGCAAAGGGCACAATTTCACTTTTACCCTTGAACTTTGGCAATTCAACAATTGGATCCCTAATCAATTAAAATTTCTTTTAAATTTTTTAGTTAATTTCAATTAGATCCTTAAATTGATATGTTATTTACACAACAGTCTTGAATTTCTAAACTATTCAATTTAGTCCTTGAACTTTAATTTTCCAATAATTTTCTCTAAATAACCTCCAAACTTTGGTATTTCTTCAATTAAACTCCTGATTCTATTAATTAATTAAGTCAAAGTTTAATTAAGTCCTCAAACTCATTAATTCCTCAATTTCTTTTAATTTAATTAATTAACTTAATCCCAAGCTCAATTAAATCTCAAAATTTATTAATTCTTCAATTAAACCCTTGATTTAATTAATTAAACTAGTCAAGAGTTTAATTAAATATTTAAACTTTCCAATCATGTTTTCATTAACTCAAATTTTAGTTCATTCTTCATTTACTCTTTTTTTTTATCAAAATGTTTTAGTAAATAAAAAAAAATCAAAAATTTGGTTATGACAAAGATGATTAAAAAAAAGCTTTATTTATATTATTTACAAATATCATATTAATATACAGCAGATGCGGTGACCGCATTTTATGTGCATGTTGTGTCGTGTAAAGCTTTTATGGAAATGAAGTGCATGATGTTCAATTTCTCTTCTTTTTTTCTTTTTTTGTTTATGATAAAAAGCGAATAAATTCCGTTACTAATAACAACTATTTTTCTTATTAAAATGATTTTTTTTAAGACAAATGTTAAAATAACACAGTTTTAAAAAAAATTATGAACATATCATGATTAGAAATAAATTATAATTAAAAGATAGGAAAAATTAAAAGAAATATATCAAGGATACACCTAGGCTCCAACCATGACATGCATTATCAGAAAAAACTCAACGAAATAAATCTAACAATAATAAAAAAGTCATCAATAATAATTGAAGAAGTCATATTTATTATAACAAACAACTGATTCAGTTTAAAGATAAATTTCTTGGTATTCATACCTTACTCATTACTCATCAAATGAAAAATTTAGATATTCATAAATTATTCATCAAGTTTTGAGTATCAATATAAATATTTATTATTTGACTATTATTTATTATTTATTATGTATCTATATGTGTGTCGAATAAAATAATTATCCAAAAAATACTCATTCATTTAGGGAAGATTGATATTTATTAGGTTTAAGTTAAATTATCATCTTTATGAGTCACCTATTATCTTTTAACAACAATTGCAATTAATTTTGATTATCATTTTATAATGTTACTGAATTTATCTCATTAAAATTTTTTTATAATATTAATAGTGCTATAATTAAAGTTTTGGTGTGTCTTCAGAGTTTTTTTCTTTTTTCTCTTTTTTTTGTCATAATTTATGCAACATGTTTTATAATTTATCTGAAATCTCATGTCCCTTAACAACAAAAAACTTGAATATTATGTTCTTTAATTGTAACATGTATAAATTGTGATTTGTCACTGATTTTTTTAATTGTGTTATTATAAAAAAAAACGCATTAAGTTTTTAAAAAATATATCACTAAAAACAACGTATGGATGGTTTTATCCAGGGCTAAGCTTACCTAGCAGGAGCCATATTGAAACCTATTTGAGCATAAGACATAAAATAACGAGTAGGCAAGTTGATTAAGCTTCGAAAGTACATAATCATGATCATTTAATATTTAATAAATGCCAGAATGCACATAAGAGTTAATTACAACTTAGGTATTGATTGTTTTATGAAAAGTAGATTCTTGTAAATTATTTTTAATTTTTTATATTTGTTTATTATTGTAAAATTTTGTAAATAAAAACTATTTTTCAGTAAAAAAAAATGGTTTACTTTATAAAAAAAATTAATTTTGAATTAAATATATTTTCTAGAAGTTATAAAATATTTTATTATTTGTGGATTATATTAAATTTGATCCTTAATTTTTTTAATTATTTTATATTTTATTTTGAATTCTGTTTTGATTTTGTTTAATTTTATCCTTTATAATTTGATTTAATTTTTTTATATCAATTTTAATCCTTATTTATTTTATTGTTATTTTTTTTAATTAAAAATTTTTATATATCATATTCGTTGCCTCTTTTTTATTTTTATTTATTTATGAAATTAGAATATTTTTTTCAATTTTATCATCTTTTAATTTTTTATTTGTCAAATTTAATTTTTTTCATATTATTATTTATTTTATTTGAAGTAATTCATAAAAATAGATTTTTTTTAATTTCATCATTCTTCAATATTTTTATTTGTTATATTTGATCCTTATTCTTTTAATAAATTTGAAGAAATAAATTAAAATATTAATAAGTTATTTTTCAATTTATTTGGCATAGCCACATTAAAAAGCATTTTCTAATTTATTTTTATGATATAGTTAATATTATAAAATAATTTATTTTTTTATAAAAATTATTTAAAAAAGCTATTTTACATCAAAAAATTAATAGATTCAATACCTTTATAATTATGGTTGATCATAACTAATTAACTAATCATATTATTAGAAACAATTAAATAATCCTCCATCAATATCAATCATCCTCATCTTAGTTCTTTTTTATTCCAAAAATACCTCTTTTCGCACTCAAAAACCTCCATCTTGCTTAACTTCTCTTATTTTTTTATTAAAAACTAGAAAACAGCACAAAATTGACGAAAGAATTAAGTTATAAAATGATTTGGAAATGTAATCAAATAAGACTTTTTTAAAAAGGTATTGTATTGTTTATTATCATATTTATGTGTTTTATTATATTCAAGTCTATTTTATAATCAAACTAAATTCATTTTTAAAATAAAAATTTCAAATAACTTCTTTTATTAAAAAATCTATTAACATGGATTGCAGTGAAAATGAAGTTTTCATTCTTTCTCTATATGTGAAAAGAAAAATATGAAATGTTAGTATAAGAAGATATAGTTTAACTAATTAGGTCTTAAATTTATTTTTAAAAAGTTATCAATTTAATTTTTATAAATTTTTAAATTTTAAAAAAATTTATATAATTATTAATTTTAAAATTCATAAAATTAATTAAAATATACATTACCCCGGCCGGAGACTCTCGTTAATTTAAAAAAAGACTAAATGTTCTTGTAACAAAACCATGAAGTGCGGTGTGCTTTTTCTTCCCGGCATTCTTCGAAGCGTCGCTATCAATCTTGAATGGGCTTGAACCACGCGGGTTAAGCAGGGTGAGTGCAAAAATCGGTTTGAGCATCCTTCCTAACCCTCGATACGAAGATCATGACGCCATTTGAATTCAGGTGGACAAAGTGGTCAAAATAGTCAACTAAACCTTCCCTCGAGAAAGTTATATAGCCAATGAGTGCACTTTATTTTGTATGAGCTTCCCTCTCCTTTAACAATTTTTACTTGTACCTCTTGCTTTCTTCATCATTGCACTTTTCCAGATGTCCTCCACCACCACCACTACGAGTCCACCATACCAAATAACAGAATCCTTAGGACCCTTCTTCCCCTAAACACGAGTAAAACAAACTCAGAAAGAGAGCATTGGAGATCTGGAGGCCTTCTTTGATGCTACTGCACCAACACAAGTTGTTTTTCCATCCTTGGTCGGTGAGAACGTTTCCATTTTCTTTCCTTTTTTTTTTCTCTTCTTTACTTTCTTGCATTTCTGTCAGGGAAGAAAGGTATCTCTGGCACATGGAAGAAATGGAGAGAGCTGAAGAAGCTGCAATGATGCAAGTCACGTAGGTATCCTAATTCCCCTTTCATCTATGGTGGTGTTTTCTTTGCGTTGTGTCCATGCTCCCTGGAGCTATGAAGACCGAGAAGTACTGAAACGTTCCTTCTCGAGCTTCTGTTTTTTTCCTCTTTCTGATGCGGAATTGTCACACTTTTGTTAGTGGAGTTTGGTTAGAGTTAACAAGAGAGGAGAAAATGATAAATATATGCACACAAAAACTTGAATAATTTTCATTGCAATCACATAGGAGTTATAGTTACTACATTAGAAAACAGAAACACAGAAAACTTATTATATACCATTTGCACACCCAAAAACAACAAATAGGAATCCAATCAGCTGGTTAATCCTCCTTTACTCTCTTTCCCCCCCTTCTTTTTCTCTCTGTTTCTTTAATCATATGTAGGCGAGTTGCCTGTATGTAATTACACTCCATCTACGGACTTACATAAAAGAGTCTGTACAGATGGCTGATCAAAAGCCAAAAACTGGATGAGAAGATAGAAAGCCCGCAACCAAATCAAGACAAACAAAAGAAAACCTTCCTCGGATCACTTTGTTAGATGTGTCCGAGATGCTAGAATGTACCGCAACATTCTAGCCCGGGGTCCTGTCTTGGAATGCAGATCTCAACATGCCTCTTTATAAAACTTCAGACCATGGTAGCTGCAATCCTAGGAACTGATGGTAAACAAGAGAAGACACAACTCAACAAATGCCATACGGTCCAGGGCAATTAAAGACCAGGTATGATGGGAGATGTTTGCTATAGACTCTGCAGAAGTGCTCGTTTGCAGAGTGGTGGTTGCAAAGGATTGATGCTTGGACCAGGGCAAGGGGACTCCACTCCAAGTGTTTTTAATAGGAAGTTTCTCTCCTGAAAAGAAAATCGCCAAATGAAATGGTTAGCCTCGAATCAAATTTTGAAAAATATCCATATCTAGGTACGACATGTGTGTTTATAGGATGCTAGCACCTGTACCAGAATAAAAGAAAGAAAGAAAGAAAGAAAACACGGCACAGTAAACTAATGAGGACATCTATGATTGCTTTTGGCAATTAACTACATGTGGTCTCCATGCTGATTGCAGAACGGCAATCTCATGAATCATTCTTATAAGTGGCCCTTTAAATACTAAAGATATGGAGATGATTTAAGCTATCATAGTGGCTGTGACATTGATTACTTTTGCAAAGGCGTGGGCATACTTGGAATCCAGTTTACAGTGTTGCCCATAGACCATTCATTCTACGAAACATGCTTGCAAATGCAGAACGATCAACCTAGATTGACTGGCCCGACGAAATACGCTTCACATAAAGAGTACATTTAACCTTTTACATCAGTGGGTAATGATCCAATCAAAGCATTTTCCAGGTAGCATCTTAAACAAAAGATCTGGTTGAGCTTCCTAGTGTATGGAATTTGACAAGGCTATTCTAGTAAATAGATTGCTCAGATAGCAGTTATGACAAATGAGAATTAAACAGGAAAATTCAGAGCGGTT